TGGATTAATTGTTACATGCAGTTATTTAATTTATAATTATAAAAGAATTAATTATTACAGAATTTATTTACAATTTACTAAACATTTAGAATAAAAACTATCAAAAATGATTTTGACTATTTAAATTCTCATTATAAATAAATTTTGTTTCATATTAGAACTCTAATTAGTAAATAGCAACAAAAAAATTTATATAAAAAATAAAAAAGCCTATAGAACATTTTTTTTTAATTAATATAATAAACATAATTTTATTAACGTTACTTAACATTAAAAGTATATTTATATTTAAATAAGGAAATTTGTTTGTTTAAAAAAACGTTTTGGAGCGTTCTTTAACTATTTTAATAAAAAACGTTGTGAAACATTTTTCTATTCACTACTTTTAATTCTATTTGAAATAATAAAAATTAATTTATAAAATATATTTTAAATTAACTATATATCAGATATTCTATACAACCCAAATAATTCTAATAAAAAATTTGAGTGTAATTTAATGTACTTTTTTAATTATATGGTGTCTTATTCATAATTCCTTTAATAAATGATATTTGTCTAATAATTTTTATTTTTTTATTATCTTTATTTTATTATTGTTTACTATGTTAAAGTTCTGGTCCAAATTTCGAAATCTTTGCTTGCATTGCATTGTTGAGCAGTACACCGAAAATTTAAATTATTCTTCTTGCCGTCCATCCTCAAAAATCTACCCAGCTCCTTCCAGTCATTGCGTGGTAATATTCATTACCACGCCTTTACATTATTTTTTGCTTTATAAATAAGTCTTGAAATTAAAGAGACGCTCTTTTTTCATTTGTATTTATATTATCATGGGCTAAATCTTAAAAATGCGCTAAGAAATTATATAATACAAACTGCTGTTAGAAATATTCCAATAATATTACAATAATGTTGTAAAGCAAAGTTCAAGTATTAACTTTGAAATAGTACCCGTTATAATAACCAATAAGGCGACGATTTCCCGACGATTCCCCACTATATTGTTTTGTTGAGAAAGTGGAATTCTTGCCAATCGATTATCAAACTCTGTTATACCATTTGAGCCACACCATTCCGTCAGTAATTCCCGTGTATATTCGACTTGGTATTTAAATAAACCCAAGTCCAAGTGATGCATCCGATCAGGCATACAAGCCTGATATGCCCTCCTATTTGCCGATAAGCCTTTATTTATGTTTTTGTTATCCGATCATCACCTAGTATCAATTAGTGAAACGAGTCTCATTAAAACATAGTGGTATTATATTTCTTAAATAATACCTAGTTATAAGTTCTTTAATTCTGGTATGAACATTACATTTTTCAATATAAATCTAACTATCATATTTTTTTTCTGCATTTTAATTAATTTTTAATTATTAAATATAATAAAATTTTTATAATTACTTATAATTTTATTTATATCATCTCATATTTGTTGTATGCACATTATTATATATGGAACCATAATTGATTCTTTCCATTATTTATTTAATTAATAATTTTTATTATTAATTTATGTATATGTATCTTGAGACTATTAACCTTTGATAACATATAATAGTCTAATCCTTTCTACATGTAATATAGTAAAAGTTTTCTACAGTAATATATATAATATAATAGCAATTAGGAATGGGTTTGAATTCAATTATTTCATACTATAATATTCTTTAACCTATGTGTTATCGTGTAATTTTAAAGAAAATAACAAGATTTTAAAGAATTCTATAAAAGATTAAAATGATTATATATTAAAGTTTAGAAGAAAGAATCTTGTCTGCTTGTACCATACGGTATGTATTATGGTACTTGCGAACTCTAAACTTCTATATCTACTATATACCCTTACTTTTTTTTTCTAATATTCTATTATAGGGAATCGGTTCCAAAGTTGGATACCGAATCCCATAGGTAAGTTTCGAAAAAAAATTTTTGAAACTATTAAAAGACGTTTTTAACATTTTTTTTTTATTATTCTATTATAGGGAATCAGTTCCGATGTTGGGATACTGAACAGCCAAATTTTGGTAACATTTTAATTAAAATTATTTTTAAGTAAATTTAAAATAATTTATAAATAATATTATAATTTTATAATTTTATAATGTTTATATCTAATAAAGATTTGTTTAAAAAAATTGTTAACTTTATCATAAAAATTTTTCTGCATCAGTCATATTGTGAACATATTTTGACAATATTTTTTATATTATAATTGGTGAGAAGGACTTTAATAAATTATGTAAATAAAATATAAATTAAATTTAAACAAGATTATGATTTACTTTCAGTAAGTATACAATTTTTTACATGTATTTCTTGACTTCTAAATTCTAATAATGTTATTTCCTTAATTAATAAGACATGATATTATATAATTATTTTTTATGTATTTTGAAAAAAGCAAGTGTGTCTTAAAGAATTACAGTATAAGAAAAAGTTTTTATGGATAAAATTTAAACCATAAAGACAACATCATGTTTATGTTTTTAATATATTTTATCAAAATAAGTTTTTAATAGGTTTTTTTTTTTTTTTATAAAATCTGAATAAGTCAACAGTCAAACATGTATATTACTTTTATAAATCAATTTTAATGTATTTTTTTTTATTCAACTTTTATTATTATTAAAATAAATATTAATTTCATAAATTTTCATATTAAAAATTTTATAAACTATAGAATTTTTTTTTATCATTTTCGTAATAAATATGAAATGAATTTATTTATTTATTTTTTTTTTTTTGAGTTATTATTATTATTAAAATTATTTGCTATGTTTAATTAAGTGATTTTTAACAAGTTGTTAAATATTGTAAAAAAGATTGAAAATAATTGAAAAAAAAAAAAAAAATTTTTTTAATATTCATTAAATACTTTTTAAAAAATCCATTTCAAGTATTTATTTGTATCTTAATATTGAGAAACAATTTTTAACAAATTTATTTGCATAATTGGAATTTTATTTATTTTTTTTTTTTGGTAAACGATAAACTTTATTATTCATATGTTAGCGAACATACAAAACCATAGAAAGTAAATCAACCTAATTCCTCCCTCTTACCGAAACCTTTACCCCATCCGGTAAAGTTGTAGTACCTTTACCTATACCCTATGCATAATTAGAATTTATTTGCATAGTTGCATCAATAGGTATAATTTACCCGATGGGTTTTGAATATGTCCGATGCATAGCGGAGGACAATAAGTAAAATATGTAGTCTGTTCAATTCTAGATCTGATGCACCTTTAGATAATTGGTTGTTGATGCAGTCAGCGGTCAGTCTTACCATTCTGTTGATTTTATAATAGACGACACGTTTACGTGCATAACGACGTGCATAAGCTAGATAACCAATCCGAATCAATCACAATCCGATTGGTTATACATTTTTTCGGTCAATCCGATCCGATCTACCGATCTCAGAACCTGTCTATCACGCGATCATGCGCATACAATGGCCAATGAAATTTTTAAGATAAATCTTGCTACTTTTAGAACTAATTTTTAGGAATTTGCCAAGCAAATAAAATAGAATGAACCCACCCCTTTCAAATTTTCTATCCCCCGTTTTTTTATATCCTCGTAATAAAATTGTTCTTTTTTGTCGTAATAAGTTTTATCCTTCTTCTATTGAAACTTCGACTTCCTCAAATATAACAAATTTTTAAATTAAAGGGCTTTTTTTGTGTGAAAATTTATCAAACATCATAGAAATAAATCGAATTTAACTTTAAACGTATAATGTATTTTTTAATATTTATGATAAATTTAGTAATGCATTATTTGTAAACTGAAGAATTTGAAAAAATAACCAATGATATATAAGCCATTAATGCCTAAAAAAATAAAGATTATTACCGTTTCGGTTAAACAAATTGATTGAGATTTTGTTTTGATTGTTTTTAAAAATAACTATTTCAAGAAATTCTCTCAATTATGGTAGGTTAATTATTAATAAGTTTTTGTATTAAAAGATTCATTCATGAATATTTATCATATTTTTTTTATTAATGTATAGCAAGTCCTACCCGTGGATACAATGTACAGGCTTAAAGATTTTAATTTTAGGCTGATTTTGAACATTTATCACACAAATATCCATAGATTGAACAAAGTAGTGACATATGGTAGCACTTTACATACGCAGTACATGAAGTGCAAGTATGCAACACAACTTAAAAATTATATTTGTAGTCTCTTTAAAAAAGGTATTTTCGAAGAATGATGATGATTCGTTAAAATTTAACTATTGATAAATTCTATTTTAAATATTTCCGTAATATATTTAGGGAGTGTTAATGAATATATTATGAATCAGCAACATGGACTTTGTCTAACTATTTCTCACATACGTTCCACCCACTAGTATCGTTACGTAATATACATATTACACATATTATCGGTACGATAAAAAAAAAAATTATAAACGAGTTGACGCAGAACCTCTAAAGGACAAGACTGTGGTTTTGATAGTGTAATTAATATTTACAAAGATTTTACGCAACCATTTCAAAGATCTTGAGATTTAAATATAATAGACGCTTACCATATAATCAGGATAATTAATGACACGATTAAGTTTAATTAGAAAGATTTCTTTATGGTTTAAAGCGAAATTTAGATTTTCTAATATTATTTGCACTCACCAATTAATCTTTATTATTATATATTAATACGCATTACATTGTGAAGATTATTACAGAAATAATTTTGTATGTAATATATATTTAATAGTTATGAATTATTCAATATTCAATGGTGAAAAAATATATATATATATATATGAAAATAACGTGAATTTTGCTACCACCTCAGGATGAAGATAAAATATCCTGATGATTATTTTTTATGAATTATGAAATACAATTGTAATAAAATACATTAAATGAAAATGAGAGTTATAGTATCTCTTTACTCATCCATATTTTCACATTGTTTTTTATAAGTAATATACATAGTCGAATGAGTAAATATCTATACTAAATAATTCTACACATATCCCATAGAAAGTTCGTTATATTTGTTATTTTTTGGAATATAAGGAGGAGTTCTAGACGCATTTAATATTGATAATGTCATTGAAGGAAATTTTGGTATTTTTGTAGGTGAATTTGGAATTTGTGATTTTGAATATTTTGTACGTGATGCAAAAGTTGGTGACGATGGTGGCGATTTAATAACTTTATGAGACGACGAATGACCATGCTCAGGGGGTGGTGGGGATATATTTAATTTACGTAATAACGAATGATCATGTTCAGGAAGAGGAGATGGATGAGTTGGAGGAGGTGGAGGAGCACCTGTTGGTGGTGCTTTAGGTTTAGGTAGTGAAGATAATGGTATCGTAGTAATTAATTTATATTCAGATATTGGTGGAGAAGGAGCAGGACGTGGTGGTAAATTTGAAAATGTTGATGGAAATATATTAGAAGAGAGTGAATTATCTATTAAACCATTTGGCGGAGAAGGAGCAGGACGTGGTGGTAAATTCGAAAATGTTGATGGAAATTTATTAGAAGAGAGTGAATTATCCATTAAAACATTTGGCGGAGAAGGAGCAGAACGTGGTGGTAAGTTCGAAAATGTTGAAGTTGATGGAAATATATTAGAAGAGAGTGAATTATCTATTAAAACATTTGGCGGAGAAGGAGCAGAACGTGGTGGTAAATTCGAAAATGTTGAAATTGATGGTAGAGAGGTAGAATTGTCTATTAATATATTTGGCGGAGATGGAGTGGGACGTGGTTGATGCATTCGGTTCGCCATTTTACGAGCCTCATGTAATGAAACTGTTGGAATATGATCTGATGTAGTAATAGTGACTATAAAATAAAGTTGTAATTGGTTAATATATAAAGTATTAACATTTTTGATCATTTTGATTGAATTTAATAAATTTCATATTTAATATCTTATACCTGTTTTGCCTATATCAATAGTAGTTTTCATTATAGCTCTCATCCAACCTCTCAGTATCTCCAAATCTTCATGAACAAAGAAATGAGGGCGTTCCGTATCATGAAGTAATTTGAATCCATATTTTCCCTGATATACATTTTCATCCGGAATAACTTTATACCCCGTAAGTTCAAATTGACCCTTTATTTTTACTGATTGTAACGACTAAATATTATCGAAAGAAATGTAAGTATATAATAACGTGATGTGATGTAACGTAACAATGTAACAAATAATTCCTACCTTGTCACCTTTTAAGTAATAGAAAGTCGACCCTTTTAAAATACAAAAACGATTTTTCCAATTTCTATACTTGTCACCTTGTTTTTTTAACCAACCATCATGATCTGGTATACCAATTTTTTTTAATACATCATTATTTGTATTGATATAATCAATAATATGTTCGGAATAATAACTGTTTACTCTGCTTTCTCTTTTTCCTAAATTATTCTTTTCTACATTACTATTAAAATAAATATAAATTAATAACGAATGCGAAAATCAAATTGACACGAGAGATTTTCAATACAAAAACTTACTCTAATGAATCTTTGGGAAGACCCAATTGACTTCCAACTACACCTTTTCGGTCCTAAGAATAAAAAATAAATTAGAACATTTTTACTTTTTAAATTTTTGAAATAAGAAAAAATAAATTTTTTTTTATAAAATATGTACCAAAGAAGAAATTTTCTTTTTTCTTCCTGGAATAAATTTCAATGAAGAATTTTTTTCAGGCTCAAACAAAGAAGTAGAGATTGTTTCATCAAATAATATGGAAGGAATTCTATTTTTTGATCTTTCTTCATTTCTTAATTTTTCCGATTCTCTTGTATCATCATCCTATAGAATATAATAATAATGTCAGAAAACATTTATTAACGAAAAGTTTTGCTATTACGTTAAAATTGTTTATTTACCAAAAAGAAATCCCAACCTCCTGAAAGGGATGGACGTGATTTTTCAGATTTCTCAGATTTTTCAGATTTTTCAGATTTTTTTGCTTTTTCATCTTTATTTGATTTTCCGAAAGGACCAAATTTTAAGAAAGTTAGACTTGATTTCTTAGGTACCTACGCGTATATAATATAATAAGTAAAAATATTTTTTTTAAAAAAAAAATAATTTCTTCAAATAATTTTACATACCTTTTTTTCAGATTTTTCAGATTTTTCTAAAGGTGAAAGAGCGTTGTAATAACTTGCAGGACTAATATCACTTTTACGATTATTTAGTTGATTATTACTAACTGAAGTATGTTGTGAATCTGATAAAGTATCATTGAAGTGAATATCACTAAGATCAGAATCCCCAAATTGTGATTTTGATTGAGTCTAAAAAAAAAAAGGTATAAATAAAGGAATACAAAAGGAATATAAAAAGGAATACAAAAGGAATACAAAAGGAATACAAAAGGAATATAATAAAATTTACATACCTTATCAATATCATGATCATCATTATTTATTGAATATTGATCTTTTAATGAAGCGATAGTATTCAATAAATGAACACGCTTACCAAAAGAATTAATATTTATTTCTTTAAGAGCCACTATATCTAAACCAAGTAATACATCACCAGTAACATCATTTTCAACAAATTTCCTTGTTTCAGAATTAAAACCATTTTCATTTAACCATTGACAAACTTGATGAACATCCCAAGTTGATGGATGATCTTTAATATTAATATTATTATTTACATTATTATTATCATCATCATCTAAAGAAGTGGGATCATAAATCATTTGAGAGTGTTGATATAAAGAATTTCTTGAAGAACTTATATCAGAATTTATTCTAGCAGAAAAATAACTACTTGTACTCTCTGTTGAAGTAGATAATCTTGATCTTCTTGAAAAACCTTTTTTTGAGCTTCTCTTACTGTTTGAAGAACCTTCACTATTATAATTTATCATTACTTGTAATTTATTTCGTAAATCTTCTATCGTATCATTAATAATAGAATTTGTTTTTGAATTTGATTTTGAATTTGAATTTGAATTTGGATTTGAATTTGAAATATTTTCTTTGGAATTTACATCATTTATTTTATAAGGTTCAGGACTTGATATAATAGGAATATTATCAAATTTAGTGCTATTATAACTTTTGATATGACTCATAGGAAAAAGTCCAATTTTTCCATGTATATTTTGTCCCTATTTTTATTAAGCGAAAAGATTAGATAATAATAAAAAAAATATATATATAAATAAAAAAAAAAAATTTTTTACCTTCCACCAACCATCCCCATACATATCATCTTTTTCGATAACAATTATAGGTTCTCCATAATCAAAATCTATCTCATCATTACGCCTAGCTTGATAAGGATGGATCGCATAAACCATTTCTTGTTCTTGTGCCATTATAATTATATTTCCTTCTTATAAAATTTAATATTTATTTTGAAAAAAATTATGAAAGAATAAATGCGTTTTTTTTTTCTTGGGAAGAAAAGATCAATTTTTTTTTTTTTAAAATAAAATTTTTTTTTTTTTTTCCTTTAAAAAAGGAAGGATTAAAAGAACAAAGAAGGATTGACATAAACAAATAACAAAGCTGCAACAACAAATCACAAAAAAGTAAAAAAATTCCGTTGTTGATTATAATTAATAATTATTATTATTTACAATATATAAAAGGGAAGACGAAAAAAGTTTTAAAATAATAACAATAAAAGGAAGAAAAGAAAAAAAAAAAACAAAAAAAAAAGATATCCACTTTATTTATAATTTTTTTTTGATAAACTATGTGTCAAGCCGTGAGAAGATGATATACATGCAACTTTTTAATTGATGTACAGGAAGGAGTGAGAAGAAAAAAGTAACATGCGTTTGTGAATCTTTCTAAAAAGACGGGATTTTTTATATTCTGGCCAATTTTTATATATATATATTTTTTTCAACATCTTTAACAAATTCGGTTTAACACCTTTAAATAGCCTGATGTATGAAGTATTATAACATAAAATTAATAAGGGCCATTGTCGATAACTTGTACAACATAAAAAAACAAGTATCATCCGACTATTCGATCATGTACTTGAATATAAAAAACATATTTATATTACAAAATATATTATTACACGTGTTTCACATAAATTACACAAATAACACAAATAAATAAATATTTACATCAAAGTCTTTTCATAACTTTTTTAGGTAATGACATTACTAGAACATTTATGCATTAGTATATGTTCAAGTAATGTACATGTTGAAAAGTGCTTATTATAAAAAAGGATTTCTATTGAATATTGAAACGTATTAACATTTAATTTTATCGTCATTTGATATCAAATATATTCTAGTTTAACTCTTGTTCGTCATCTTTAGATCATCACATTATTTATTTTTTCAATTGTTCTTTTTTTATTTTATGCACAAAAAAAAATATAAAAAAAATATAAAATTCTTCTTCTTCTTTTAGATTTAAATTCTTTTAATGTTTTTATGGTTTTTACTATAAATTATTTAAATGTTTCTTTACTTTTTATGTAAATTATAATAATATCAATAATAATATAATAATAAAAAAAACATACATACTTATAATTTATTTCTTAAATTTTAATTGGTTAAAACTTAATATAAATAATTCTGCAATTGTTTCTTAAATTTAGATTTTTCTTTTTTTCTTATTTCTTGTATACAAAAAAAGTCCGTTTTATCGGAGATTACTTTTTGAACCATTTGACCAAGTTTGGTTTTTTTTCATACTGAAAATTATAATTATTCCAAATATGGTTATAATTTTGGTTTATTAAGTTTTGTAACAATAAATCTCGTGTATTTGAAACGTGTATTAAAAAATGGTTTTAAGTATTATTTATGTAAACATTATTTAAGAATAATAATAAGATAGATAATAATAATTATTTTTTATTATTTTTCCCGCTTTTTTCGGCTTTTTTTTTTTCGTAATTTCTTCGTATGCTTCATGTCGTATGTTATTTGTGTTCCGATTGAAATGTAAAAAAATGTAAATCTTCAATGTCGTCATGTCATCATGTCGTCAATATTGCAGGTGTCGTAGGTTAATTTTCAACTTATGTACATTACTCCCTTATTAGTATAGTAAAGTATATCACTCCACCTTTCCATCTTTTTCTTATTTCGTTTCATATTGAAATCTCGTACCATAATTAATTTCTCGGGAGTTCTGTATATCTCTGTATTGACCCGTGATGATTATTTCTTCTGATCAGTTATTTCATATGCTTTTGTTTATATTTATAGATTTCATAACAAATTTTCATTTGCTATATTCTTAAAAAGGGGATTTTTTCCTGCAAATTACAAAAATAAGAGTATATAATTTAATTGGGAGTTTTAATCACGCAAACGATCAGGGAATTTTTTTCTCACATGAGCTTTCAATTTCTTAAAATAATTAAATAAAATTTTTTAATTTGCATTAAAATTTACAGGATTTCCAGGATTTTCTAACGAACCGTCCTGGTTCAGGATGATTGAATCGGGTAATCTTTTTCCGCTCGGTGATCGTGACGTAATTTTATGTATTATCATACATATAGTCGTTAGGATCGTCGTACAGGTTACAGCTTTTTAACCGAATTAATAACAAAAGTTAATAAAACTTGTATTACAATCAAATTCCTAAATAATATATATAAAAAATATCAATTTTGAAACTATTTTATCATTAATGGAATTCTTAAAAAAAATATTTTGTTTCATAAAAGCTTTGTTCATTTTATTCTTATATTATTCTTTATTAAAACTATTTCAAAAATTGAATAATATTATAGAAAAATTTAATAAATTTAATTATGATGATTCAAATTATATTAATATTTATAATTTAATTATTATTAAAACGTTGATCAAGAAATTAAAAAATTATTATGAATATTATAAACATGATCATATAAAACTTGTACATTATTATTTAATATTTGGTTTATGTTTTGAATGTAATCGATTAAATACTTTTATTAAATGGTGTAAATATTGTTATTCTAAAAAGTTTCAACAAAATTTTATTAATTGGACTAGTGGAAATAATCAAATTGATAATTTCATTCAAGAATCACAATTAAATGCAAGAAATTGGACTGAATTACTTGAATGGATTCCTTATAATAGATTAAGAAATATTAAATTCTTGGCTAAAGGTGGTTTTAGTACTGTTTATAAAGCAATTTGGTTAGATGGACGGATAAGATATTGGAATTATGAAAATCAACTTTGGGAACGTGGTATTAATAAACTTGATGAACAAGATTTTATAGATACAAATAATTCTCAAATTAAAAATCCTCTCAAAATTAATGAAAAATATGGATGTTCAATAGTACTAAAAAGTTTAAATGATTCATCAAATATCAATGAAAATTTCTTAAATGAGGTAAGAAGTTTTATACAAATAATTATAAATTATTATTTCTAATAATAATAATAATTTTATTATTATTAAAATATAGTGGAAATTACATTTACAATGTCAACATGAAGCATTTTTAAATTATTCTATGCTTATTCCAATACTTGGTATAACACAGGATCCAATTACATTAAATTATATGATTATTTTAGAATATGAACCTGATGGTAGTTTGAGAAATAATTTATTGATAAAAAAATTTAATCCAAATGATAAATTTAAAAATTTATGGAATATTTCAAGACAATTAAAATCTATTCATAAATTAAATCTTGTTCATGGTGATTTTCATAGTGGTAATATACTTCATGGTAAATCTACCTTATTTATTAGTGATCTAGGTTTATGTAAACCTGTTAATCATTCTATTAATATAAAAAATGAAATATATGGAGTTTTTCCTTATATAGCTCCTGAAGTATTACGTGGTAATCCTTACACAAAAGCTGCTGATATTTATAGTTTTGGTATTATTATGTGGGAGATGACATCAGGCGTTCCAGCATTTCATAATATTCCTCATGATTTAAATCTTTCTTTAAATATTTGCAGAGGTATTAGACCAGAAATTATAAAAGGAATCATGCCTGAATATATTGAATTAATGAAAAGATGTTGGAATAATGATCCTGAAAAAAGACCAACTGCCAATGAATTAAGTAATATTTTTCTTAAATGGAGTATAAAGTATCCAATAGAAGAAGATAAAGAAAAGAGAATACCCATTCCAGGTAGTAATTTTAACTAGTATTTATAACTAAAAATTATATTATAACTTATTTACTATTAAAATTTTATAGAGAATGAACCGGAAATTATATACCATCCAAAGTCTTGTTACACAAGTAGAAAATTTAATTATTCAACTAAATTGAATGAAATATTATTACAAGATGAATTAAGTAATAATATTGTCATTATAAATGACAAAAATGATGATGGGATCAGTAAAGAATTAGGTACAGTGTAAAAATTGGTTTATTATAATTTGTGTTTAAAATATCTAAAGTAACTTCATTTTATTATATAATTAGATGAACAAGATGAACTAGATGATTTTATAATTTAAGAGATTAAATAGTTATTATACTACTTTTACAAACTTTTAAAAGGTGCCATATATGACATAAGGAGAATTCAAAATTCATATATAGGGTTTTCAAATAGGAGATCATTTATTATTTATTAACTTCTTTAATTGGTAATAGGGGAAGAATGTAGCATCCGGTCATCCAAATGTTTGCTTCACAAAAAAAATTATATTTATAGATAGTACTAAAAACTAGGTCATCTCATGGTGTATGAAATTTTATTATCGTATAGCACTGACTAAAATATCTGGTATCGTAAAAAATTGAATTAGTATCCGGTAGTATTTTGTATGGAACATAAAAAAATTGGTCGGAATTAGCCTAATTCTACCAGAATTAGAATTTTTTTAACTACTCGGTATTATAAATATAATGGGTCACGGCCGTACGGGGGGGTCTTTTAGTCAGTGCTATACGGTAATAAAATTAGGTAAAATCGGGACTACTCCAAGATCGTTAATATTGTATTCGAAATTCATTATTCCTATACATTTATTTTTATTCTAATTAAATTATTTTTTTATATTTTATTGGCATATTTTAAACATTGAAAGTAATAATAATAAAAAAAATTTTCAACTATATAACATTTCGATACACGCTATTTATTTTTAAAATTATTTGTTATATACTATAAATTAAACGTTACTTCTTTCTTACCAATTTATTTACAAGTTACTAGAAACAAGTTTTTATTAAGTGCATTGGATAATATGAAATTATTTTGTATGTATAATTACCGTATTATAACAGATAAGAATTTACTTCAATTATAAAGGGTCATGTCATTAGATAATTGTTGAATATTTATTTAAAATTTTCAATATATTAGATAAATAAAGTAAGATTTTTATGAACCACGGTGAAAGTTATTTTAATAGTTTTTGTGTTCTAGTGTATTTTAATATAGGAAACCTTTTAGGTATAAAAGTATTCAACGTGATCCGTGATTAGTAATTATTATACAATCGGTCTGCTAACATTATATTTTTTTAAGCTTTCTTAAGTGTTATAACAAATTAAAATAATTAGAGAATTTTTCCGACCTGCACTTCAAAAATTAAAATTTTTTCTTGCAATAAATAAAATTATAAATTGCGTTAAATTTTCAAAATTTCTAGCTAGACAAAATTAGATAATTAGATTTGACCAAAGTCGTATGATTGGGTGGTTAATCTTTTCCGTTCGGTCTAAAAAATTTTTTCTTCACATCCAAACGTCATAAATCCGAAAGATCCCTAAAAAAAACACTTCCCCATCCGTTCTTCCAAAGCCCAAGCGCTACAATTACCGGTTCGCCCAAAGTGCCGTAAGGGTGACGCGATTTGACGCATCATACCAATAGTAACCAATTCCCATTTACTATGAAATTATCACATGCAATGCGTCAAATCAGCCCATACGGGTTATGGGATCATCTTACCACACCACCTGGAAGTACAGGTGATATATAATGCAGTGACAAATAGAGATCAGGCCAGTAAAAAAAAACTAAGTCCCTCAGAAACATAATAAAAAACGTAAACAGGTCAGCATGTGACGATGTGACAAAAACATCACAGGGGTGGTGTGGTAAGATGATTCCGGGTTATGTATCACAATCACGGAAAAAATAGTCTGAAATATTATATAAAGTCGCATATATAACTTTCATTTCATTAATGGAGTTCTTAAAGAGAATATTTTGTTTTCCCTTTAATAAAACTTATTCTCGAAATAAAAATGTTATTGAAGAAAATAATAAAAATGAAGTTGTTAATAAAACCCATCTTTCAAACTTATATAACGAATCAAATATAAACTTTAACGATTTAAATCTTGAACAATACGTACAAGATAATCAACCGTATGGTTTATGTTCTGAATGTAATCGACCAAACACAAAGTTATCTTGGTGCAAGGAATGTTATTCCAATAAATTTCAACAAAATTTTGATAATTGGACTAGTGGAAATAAGCAAATAGATGAGTTCATTCAAGAATCACAATTAAATGCAAGAGGTTGGTTTGAATTACTTGAATGGATTCCTTATAATCGATTGAGAAACATTAAATTCTTAGCTCAAGGTGGATTTAGCACAATTTACAAAGCAATTTGGTTAGATGGTGGGATATCGCGTTGGGATTATGAGAAACAAGGTTGGAAACGTTATGTTAATAAGCTTAATGAACAAGATTATAAAGATGTAAATAATTCTCAAATTAAAAATCCACTCAAAATTGATGAAAAATATGGATTTCTGATAGTACTTAAAAGTCTAAACGACTCGTCAAATATCAATGAGGATTTCTTAAACGAGGTAAGCAGCTATTTACATTATTAAATAATTAAATAATTATAAAATTATTTATACAATAATTAATATTTATTTTAAATATAGTGGAAATTACATTTACAATGTCAGCATGAAGCATATTTAAATGATGCTTTACTTACTCCAATAATTGGAATAACGAAGGATCCAGATACATTAAATTACATGATTATAATGCAATATTTACCTAAGGGTAGTTTAAGAGATAATTTGTTGATAAAAAAATATAATCCAAATGATAAATTTAATAATTTGTGGCGAATCACAAACCAGCTAAAAGCTATTCATAAATTAAATTTAATTCATGGGGATTTTCATAATGGAAATATACTTCAAAGTAAATTTTCCTTATTTATTAGTGATTTCGGATTATCTAAACCAGTTAATCAAACTAATATAAAAGATGAAATATATGGAATTCTTCCTTACATGGCACCAGAAGTATTACGTGGTAAACCTTACACAAAAGCTGCTGATATTTATAGTTTTGGAATTATTATGTGGGAGATGACATCAGGCGTTCCAGCATTTCATAATATTCCTCACGATTTAAATCTTTCTTTAAATATTTGCAGAGGTATTAGACCAGAAATTATAGAAGGAACTATGCCTGAATATGTTGAATTAATGAAAAGATGTTGGGATAATAACCCTGAAAAAAGACCAACTGTTGATGAAGTTGAAGATATTTTTGGAAAATGGGATACTACATATCCAATGGAAGGGGAAGAAGAAAAAAGAATACCTGTTCCTGGTAATTATAATTTATTTTTGGACTAAAATTGTATTTATTTATTGTATTGTATTTAATGTTTTTTATTATTAATCATAGAAAATGAACCAGAAATTGCATATCATCTAAAATCTTGTTATACAAGTAGGAAATTTAATTATTCGGCTAAACTNCATTATAAATGACAAAAATGATGATGGGATCAGTAAAGAATTAGGTACAGTGTAAAAATTGGTTTATTATAATTTGTGTTTAAAATATCTAAAGTAACTTCATTTTATTATATAATTAGATGAACAAGATGAACTAGATGATTTTATAATTTAAGAGATTAAATAGTTATTATACTACTTTTACAAACTTTTAAAAGGTGCCATATATGACATAAGGAGAATTCAAAATTCATATATAGGGTTTTCAAATAGGAGATCATTTATTATTTATTAACTTCTTTAATTGGTAATAGGGGAAGAATGTAGCATCCGGTCATCCAAATGTTTGCTTCACAAAAAAAATTATATTTATAGATAGTACTAAAAACTAGGTCATCTCATGGTGTATGAAATTTTATTATCGTATAGCACTGACTAAAATATCTGGTATCGTAAAAAATTGAATTAGTATCCGGTAGTATTTTGTATGGAACATAAAAAAATTGGTCGGAATTAGCCTAATTCTACCAGAATTAGAATTTTTTTAACTACTCGGTATTATAATGGGTCACGGCCGTACGGGGGGGTCTTTTAGTCAGTGCTATACGGTAATAAAATTAGGTAAAATCGGGACTATTCCAAGATCGTTAATATTGTATTTTAAATTCATTACAATTATTGATATTCCTATATATTTATTTTTATTTTCATAAAGATTATTTTTTTTTTAAAGTGACAATAAAAAAAAATTTTCAACTATATAGCATTTCGATACACGCTATATAAAAAAATTTGTTATACTATAAATTAAACGTTGCTTCTTTCTTGCCAATTTATTTTACAAGTTATTAGGAACAAGTTTTTATTAAGTACATAAGATAATATTGAAAATTATTTTATATATACAATTTATCGTACTATCATAAGGTTTTTAATAATTTATTTTAACAATAAAGGATCAAAATTGGGAATATTTATTTAAAATTTCAATATATTAGATAAATAAAGTAAGATTTTATGAACCACAGAGAAAGTTATTTTAATCGTTTTTGTGTTCTAGCGTATTTTAATATAGGAAATCCTTTAGGTATAAAAGTATTCAACGTGATGGTTACAGTACGATTTCCCGAATCCCAATTTCCCGAATATACCTTTTCCCGAAGCCATTATCCCGAATCCCTTTATCCCGAAATGGACATTATCCCGAATGCCATTATCCCGAATCCCAATTTCCCGAATGGTCATTTTCCCGAATTCGAAAAGACATATATGAAAATTACTAAGTTGATTAATCTTTATTATAAAAAGAAATTGAATAAAACTAGCTACTAAGATTCGGGATAATGGCATTCAGGATAATGGCATTCGGGATAATGGAATTTCGGGAAAATGTCCATTTCGGGATAAAGGGATTCGGGATAATGGCTTCGGGAAAAGGTATATTCGGGAAATTGGGATTCGGGAAATCGTCCGACAAGGCAACGGGATCCGTGATAGTAATTATTATACGATCAGTCTACTAATATTATATTTTTTTAAGCTTTCCTAAGTGTTAAGCGAGGTAACAAATAAGAATTTTTCCAACTTGCACTTCAAAAATTAAAATTTTTTCTCGCAATTAATAAATTATAAATTGCGTTAAATTTCAAATAAAAAATTAGATTTGACCCAAGTCGTATGATTGGGTGGTTAATCTTTTTTCCGCTCGGTCTAACGCCTATTAATTTTTGGGGCGCAGTATTATAATTTTTTTAAATTTACTGCGGTCTGAAATTACCTTAAACTATCAATCAATGGAATTTTTAGTTGTTAATAACACTTTACTTTTTAAAGAATATATGACGATGGACAGTAGTTGATCCTTAATAATTTAGGATATTCATAGAAATATTAGTTATTGAATTTAGGGATTTTATATGAAGTTTCTTTTAGGAAATTATTATTTGTGAATCGGGTATAAATATAGCTTTTGGGATTTATCCGGATTTAGGACTTATAATCTATTCTCTTTTTTGAAATTCTTATTTTCACTCTATCTTTATTACTATAAAACTCGGGAAGCGTTATAATTTTTTTCGAATATAATAAAATTTATTTTTGTAGCTTGTGTGGAAATCGTCATTATGACGGGCACAAGCCCCACAACATCCAGACATCATAAATCCGAAGGCAGAGACCCTAAGAAAAAAACTTCGTTCCTCCAAAGCCCGAGCGACACAATTACAATCGAGCGCCGTAAGGGCACCACTTTTTTGAGTGCCCAGGTTCGTGGTGCAGTAAATTTTAAAAAACTATCATTAAGGATTTTCTTTGATATAAAGATTTTAATTTATATTATAGATGTAATTTCACCTGCTCTGCAAGTTTACTTAGGATTTGGAAGAATGTTACGAATGCCGATTTTGATTTTAAATATAAATGATTGATTCATTCGCAACATGATCCGTATATGCTGTGATACATACAGTATAATAAATTCGTTGTACGGGTAATTTGGAGAAATTTAGATAATTTGTTATAAAACTTGTATCACAAATATTCCGCAATATCATATAATAAAACAATCACGGAACCGAAATATCATATAAAGTCGTATATTAACTTAATGGAGTTCTTAAAGAGAATATTTTATTTTCCCTTTAATAAAACTCATTCTCGAAATAAAAATGTTTACGATACAAATCATGAACAATACATATAATCAACCATATGGTTTATGTTCTGAATGTAATCGACCAAACACATGGAAGTTTTGGTGCAAGGAATGTTATTCCAAAAAATTTCAACAAAATTTTGATAATTGGACCAGTGGAAATAAGCAAATAGATAAATTCATTCAAGAATTACAATTAAATACAAGAAGTTGGGTTGAATTACTTGAATGGATTCCTTATAATCGATTGAGAAACATTAAATTCTTAGCTCAAGGTGGATTTAGCACAGTTTACAAAGCAATTTGGTTAGATCATGGTGGGATATTGCATTGGGATTATGAGAAACAAGGTTGAAAACGTTGTGTTAATAATCTTAATGAACAAGATTATAAAGATGCAAATAATTCTCAAATTAAAAATCCTCTCAAAATTGATGAAAAATATGGATTTTTAATAGTACTTAAAAGTCTAAACGACTCGTCAAATATCAATGAGGATTTCTTAAACGAGGTAAGGAGCTATTTTACATTATTTAATAATTAAATAATTATAAAATATTATTTATAACAATAATTAATATTTATTTTAAATATAGTGGAAATTACATTTACAATGTCAGCATGAAAAATATTTATTTGGTACTGCGTTTACTCCAATACTTGGAATAACGCAGGATCCAGATACATTAAATTACATGATCTTAATGGAATATTTACCTAATGGTAGTTTAAGAGATAATTTGTTGATAAAAAAATATAATCCAAATGATAAATTTAATAATTTACATTATATTTCAAGACAGCTAATGGCTATTCATAAATTAAATCTAGTTCATGGAGATTTTCATAATGGAAATATACTTCAAGCTAAACCTTTTTTATTTATTAGTGATTTCGGATTATCTAAACCAGTTAATCAAACTAATATAAAAGATGAAATATATGGAATTCTCCCTTACATGGCACCAGAAGTATTACGTGGTAAACCTTACACAAAAGCTGCTGATATTTATAGTTTTGGAATTATTATGTGGGAGATGACATCAGGCGTTCCAGCATTTCATAATATTCCTCAAGATTTAAATCTTTCTTTAAATATTTGCAGAGGTATTAGACCAGAAATTATAGAAGGAACTATGCCTGAATATGTTGAATTAATGAAAAGATGTTGGGATAATATCCCTGAAAAAAGACCAACTGTTGATGAAGTTGAATATATTTTTGGAAAATGGGATACTACATATCCAATGGAAGGGGAAGAAGAAAGAATACAATGTTCCTGGTAATTATAATTTATTTTTGTATTTATTTATTATATTGTATTTAATGTTTTTTATTATTAATCATAGAGAATGAACCAGAAATTGTATATCATCCAAAATCTTGTTATACAAGTAGGAAATTTAATTATTCGGCTAAACTGAATGAAATGTTATAACGAGATGAATTAAGTAATAAAATTGTCATTATAGATGACAAAAATGATGGGATCAGTAAAGAATTAGGTAAAGTGTAAAAATTGGATTATTATAATTTGTGTTTAAATTATTTAAAGTAACTTCATTTTATTATACGTTAGATGAACTAGATGAACTAGATGATTGTATAATTTAAGAGATTAAATAGTTATTATACTACTTTTACAAACTTTTAAAAGGTGCCATATATGCACATAAGGAGAATTCAAAATTCAAATATAGGGTTTACAAATAGGAGATCATTTTTTTGCCATATTATTTATTAACTTCTTTGATTAGTAGGAAATGAAGAATGTAGCATCCGGTCAACCAAATGTTTGCTTCACAAAAAAAATTATATTCATAGATACTAAAAACTAGGTCATCTCATGGTGTATGAATTTATTATCGTATAGCACTGACTAAAATACCGGGTATCGTAAAAAATTGAATTAGTATCCGGGGTAATATTTTGTATGGAATAAAAAAATTGGCCGGAATTAGCCTAATTCTACCAGAATTAAAATTTTTTTAACTACCCGGATATTATAATGGGTCGGGAGTCTTTTAGTCATTGCTATACGATAATAAAATTAGGTAAAATCGGGACTACTCCAAATCGTTAATATTGTATTCGAAATTCATTATTCCTATATATTTATTTTATTTTAATTAAAATTATTTTTTTTATATTTTATTGGCATATTTTAAACATTGAAAGTAATAATAATAATAAAAAATTTCAACTATATAACATTTCGATACACGCTATTTATTTTTAAAATTATTTGTTATTTACTATAAATTAAAAGTTACTTCTTTCTTACCAATTTATTTACAAGTTACTAGAAACAAGTTTTTATTAAGTGCATTGGATAATATGAAATTATTTTGTATGTATAATTACCGTATTATAAGTTTATAACAGATAAGAATTTACTTCAATTATAAAGGGTCATGTCATTAGATAATTGTTGAATATTTATTTAAAATTTTCAATATATTAGATAAATAAAGTAAGATTTTATGAACCACAGAGAAAGTTATTTTAATCGTTTTTGTGTTCTAGCGTATTTTAATATAGGAAACCCTTTAAGTATAAAAGTATTCAATGTCGTAATAATTATTATACGATCGGTCTACTAACATTATATTTTTTTAAGCTTTCTTAAGTGTTATAACAAATTAAAATAATTAGAGAATTTTTCCGACCTGCACTTCAAAAATTAAAATTTTTTCTTGCAATAAATAAAATTATAAATTGCGTTAAATTTTCAAAATTTCTAGCTAGATTTGACCCGAGTCGTATGATTGGATGGTTAGTCTTTTTTCCGTTCGGTATAAAAAAAATTTTTTCTTCACATCCAAACGTCATAAATCCGAAAGATCCCTAAAAAAAACACTTCCCCACCCGTTCCTCCAAAGCCCAAGCGCTACAACCGGTTCACCCAAAATTAGAGTAGTGCCGTAAGGGTGACGCAATATTACTGACCCGCATCACATTTTTCTCATGTTTGTTCGGGAAAAAATAGAGGCACTAGTTAGTATGTATATTTATACGAAAATTAATATATCGCACAATTTGTGGCACATGTTAGTTGGTCGATCAATGATATACCAATAAAAATGCATTTTCCTATTGAGATCATTTATTTATTCTTTTTATAGCACGATATCTTTATCATTTCAACAAATACATAATAAAATCAGAATTAACTAAATAAGTGTAAAATTAACTTTAAATCTGGTTTGAACATCATCTAATATCAGATGTATGGGGATAATAAAGTGGAACGGTTGGTCAAATCCATAGTAAATGCCCCATAGCTGACCGTCATCATCATACACCGCCGAACCTGAATCACCATGTTCGCCTATATAAATAAAATTTTAGTCAGAATAGGAAGGACGTTGCTTTAATACATGTACATATATCAACTTACCAAATGGCTGTCCATCAATACTAGAAATAAGTAAAGCAGATACTTTCGATACTCTTCCAAATTTCTTGGTACAAAAGGTCAGCATTTTATCAATTGCTACCCCTTTTGTGAGGAAACTTGTTCTGCCAAATTTATAAACATATGTCATAGACTCTGAGTCATCGCTAACAAAGTCCTTGTAATCACGAATAACGGTTTCAGAGCCAAATGGTTTATTTGGATCAACCACTGGCACCCTGTCATGATGTTCAATTTCACAGAAGGAGTAATCAAGAAGATTGCTATTTTCGCCAATACCATGAAATTTGTATGAGACTTTGGCGCAGGAACTTGTATCGGGATCCTATTTAATTAATTTTAGAAAAAGTAAACTTAAGCAGTTAGACACAATAATTACAGAGAAAATATTCATACATTTTCATATTTTCCTGGCTGAACTACTACACTGCACACCTCTCCAACTGCATGTCCCGCAGTAAGTATAAATTTCTTCGTGTCTGTCTGAAAGAATGCTCCCAATGTGAATGCATTTTTGACTTCCGAACATCCGATGCTAATACCGGGCTTGAGTTTTTTATTGTAAGCTCGAGGATTAGAAGCTGGTTCAACAACTCCATATCTAATAAACACTGGATACCCCTCAAACGTGGCTGGTAGACGGATTTGTACCGTTTCATCAGGAAAAACAACAATAATTGCAGGTTTATCATCGACTAGCCCTGGACCTATGAAAGCCATCGGATCTTTCCCTTCTTCCTTAAGTTTATTCAGAAAGGCCTCTCTAGCAATCATCAGCTTTGAAAGCTGTTTGAGATCTTGTATTGGTTGAATTTCACGTTCGCCTAATTGTTCTGCATATTCTTCTTGGTGCATCACTAAGATTAAGAGTTAGCTGTTTCACAAATTAACGTTTAAGATATATCAGAAAATCCAGATGCAAACCTGAAGTAGTTCGTGGGTAAGATAAATTTTTCCTGCACACTGAAATTTATTTGTTACAATGTTACATAATACAAACATTAAATATTACTAACAATACGTCATAAAGTTTTCTTTTTTGGTTACCTTGGACTAGTAGAATATAACTATTGTTTTCAACCTGCTTAAAAATATCACCAACACTATTTTCATCTTTTATTTCTATGTTTTGCAAATTTTCTTTTCCACTAAAAGAGATTTTCACTATCCATACACGTATGTCAACATCAAGGATATTTATATTCTCGCAGATTAATTTTTTTAAGTCATAGCCGGTTTTATTCGCATCGATATTAATCTTGAAATGGCCTTGGTTTTCAAGAGCTGGTTTTTGAACGATACAGCTGAGTGTAAGAGTGGACATTTTTCACGTAGGTAAAAATTATTTAGATTGGGGTATTATATATATATGTAAAATAAACTTTTAAATAGCTTATGTTTAGGGAGTTTGTACAATATTATGATGACAGTATATTTTATCATTAGTCATTTCTGCTCGGAATGATCAAATACTTTTGTATTATATATATATATTATGTTAGCTTATAGAAGTTTATGTTTATGGAGTTTGTACAATATTATGATGACAGTATATTTTATCATTAGTCATTTCTGCTCGGAATGATCAAATACTTTTTGTAATTGCTGTACAGTAGTGGCGGAAAAAACTGGCAGTGAAGGAAAATCTGTTTACACGATCAATTTTCACCAGAATTGTTTAAAATTTAAAAAATAAGTAAACAAATATTATGTTTTCCATATACTAAATTATTAGTATTAAGTAATACTATTATTTTTTTTAATTATTAATTTTAATCACTTTTACAGACTACTCGCTAAATTAAGTCGGAGGATTTGATTTATATTATTCCGCTTCTTCTCAGTAATTTCCATAAAAATCTTTTGAATAACTAATTTTTTTTTCACTAATTCATTTATTAACCTTTTTCCCACTTTTTCCTTAAAAAATTGTTCATAAGTCTTTAATAAAATTCGGATCTGGTAAATATGAAGATCAATCAAGAATCACAGGACATTAATTTTCAAGAAAAATCTGGCTTTATAGTTCGAATCATTGTTCTATTGGAATATTCTGGACTCTCCAAGAAGCTGATACACATTACTGAAAAATTTTTAATTAAAATATTGTAATTTCAAAACTTATTACATCTGTATAAAAATGAATATGCAAATCAAAGTGATTTTGACTTTTGGACTTAAAATTTTTAGGCGTTTTGGTCAATGGTATTGTTTTAAATTTTTGGGCTTTTTTTAACTGAGATGATTACTGAAGCAATATCCTTAATGGGAATTTGGTAATTTTGCATAGTTCATTTACATTTCGGTATTTTATAACTCCCATTTTGCCAATTACGACTTAACAAACTCACATCATTTTTAAGAGAAAGTTTTTACAGTATAATGATATTGTAATGTTTATGAGACACTTCTATGCCTAGTTTACTTAATACATATTGATCATGATAGTATAATGAACAAATAGATAAAAAATTAGTTCGTATTGTTCAATTAAATATGATGTAGATCATTAGTTTTATCACGCAATCGCAACTGCGGAACTGCCATTTTTTTCCGCCACTACTGTATTATATATATATATTATGTCAGCATCTAAGAAGTGTAATAAAAGCGTTGACAATCAAATTTTCGTATGGTGCAAGTGAACGTACTCCCCAGCACGAGCTTTTGCTAATAAAATTTGAGCAAGAAGTTGTGTCAATTAATGCCTTGACTGTATGGTGTACATGTCCCTCTTTCATTGCTTCCCAACGCTCTTCTTGATTTTTAAGTTTATCGGAAAAAAAGGCCATATTTTGCATTCTACGTATATCATTTCCGAATAGTATTGCTTTCTTTAACAGAATAAAATTCTCATTAGAAAAAAAAATCTGAACAATATCTATTTTTTCCCTACTCATTTCCAACAAATATAAGCTTTGTTTTTGGGTATAAGTCTTGGAAATCAGTTAATATATCCTTTCTAATCCGTAAACATTCCCTAATTACTATCATTTCTAAACTAGGGCCAGTTTGGGAATTTTTGTAATTGTTTTCGGGCTTAAGCGTCTGGAACCTCTTATTACAAGTGATTTTAAATTGGGGCACTCGACTAGAAGCGCTTCTAGATTTTTATTGTTAAGTATACGCGACCCACAATTTTCAAAACTTAGCCATTGTAAATTGGGGCATGCCTTGCACATTTCGGAAATGTATACATCTGGCTCTATATTTATTTCTCCAATAACTAAAATATATCTGATTAACAAAAATGCCTAAATCTTTAATTTAACATTGATTTTTAGGATTGGTCATTTGCTGATGGCTTTATTGAGAATCAGGAAATTCAACAAATTACATTTCATCAGCTTTTATCAACGTGTAACCAATCCTCTATTAAAAATCTTTAGGGTGTTAATCATTTAACGTCATCTGGAATACACCATCTTGTTATTTTATTAAAAAATGGAATATATAAATGTTCCTGTATGTCTTTGGTAACTCGTGGGATTGTTTGTAGACATTATTTTAGTATAATGCTACGAACTTCACAGGCTCAGTTTCATATAGGATTTTTTTGCAAATTTTGTTATGAAGTTTGAAGGGGGGAGGGCATATGAAAATGACAAGTAATTTTCGATCATTGAAGACGGCTGGCGCTTATGGGACCCGTTCATTTCACCGACAGACGTTTCACCGACACATTTTTTCACCCCCTGTGATGGTCACGTGTACGTGCATGACAGTACTTGGGCGTGATGTTTAACGCATATTTATCACGTGATATGTATGTGACATTTAGGTGTAGGTGAAACGTCTGTCGGTGAAATGACCCAGACCCTTACGCCATGGCGCAAGAAAAATATAAAAAACGCAAACGCGGCAGTTACCGTAGTAGATACTTTTTTTTTCGAGCAAATAATATCTAGGTACAACCTTCTAATCCAAGGTCAGGTACAACAAGTACAATATATGTAAAAAAAACTTTTTTTAGATAAAAAAAATATACTACCAACATCAAGAAAGTATTTACTGGTGAGACTGCCTTAAGGAATACTGGCCAACATATGGATGTCAAGCTTTACTAATATTGGAAACTTGTTTTGTAAGTGAAAAACGACTTCAATTACTCCTGTCAGTTTAAACACCTTTGTGGTTCTTTTTTACATGTTTCCTGCTGTCTATCACGCATTTGATTCTTTCAATTTTTTCTTTTAGGCAAATGGTACATTTAAGGTCATCAAGATGATGCTAAATTGATATCTATCTACAATAGAGGATAAGCTAACAAGCTAAACGAGACTATGTCATACCATTAAGGGTAAGTATAAATTATAATGGTTCGCCAGATGGACGTACGAGCAAGTGTAGCACTGCACGGTTCACCAAAAGTCTTCAGAATGGTGAACTGTTATGATTGACATAGGGTTCATGTGCTTGTAGTACATACCATGTGTTACTGGCTAAGTGGTCATCTGCTTTGTGCACAAAGTTGTAGCTACAATGATGCCACATAGGTGATCCCCAAGCTAATTCATATGAAGGCCGGTCCGGTAGTTGCGCTTCATCGTAGTGGTCCAGTAATGAGAAAAGACTTACAGATTCGTCTCCTTTTTCATTTTGCATCACAAGCGATTTTAACGATACTACACCCACCTGCCAAAAGTATCCGGACACCTCTAAAAAATGACCATTAAATCACATTATTTTGACGTCCAGTGATCAGAATTTAATGATTTATGATTCATTGGATTCGTTTAATTGAGACGCATCTAACTGCAGTATTTTCAAGTCTGTAAGTTCAATAGATCAGAAGTTATTGCGGAATGTCTAAAAATAGTAAAATGCAAATAACTTTTGATCCATCAATTCTAGAGACATGAAAATAATAGATACCATGTATCTTAACAAGACAAATCTAATGAATCATATTTCATCTTTCTAAGTTCAATAGAGAAGAAAACGTTTTGAAATTTGTATATGTCAAATTTTTAAAAGTGAAAAATGAATTATTTGCATTCTACTGTTGAGAATAACATCTGATCCATCAAATTTAGAGACATAAAAACACTGCAATTAGATGCATCTTGATAATATGAATTCATTGAATCATAAATAATTAAATTCTGTTCACTGGTTATTTAAATAATGTGATTTAACTTTATGA